CTTATTAAATTTTTGGTCCTTGAGAGTGGGCGCTTATTCGAGGTGGGCGCTTATTCGAGGCTGGGTGCAACAAAACAATAAATGCTAATAACAAAACGCGAAGAAGTAACAGAGCAAGGTTTCTGTAAAATACTCTGAAGAAAACTCCGTTCTCGGGGAAGTCTCTTATTAGAATTTATTCATTCAAGTGGCTGGAATGGGGGTGAGCACTTATTTGAGTTTTATTGGGAGGAGGAGGGGGTGGGCACTTATTCGAGGCTGGGTGCTTATTAACTTTTTCTGCCTTTTGGATGGGCGCTTATTCGAGGTTGGGCGCTTATTCGAATAATTACGGTATCCCTAGTGATATGTGTTTCCTGGGTATGGGAACACATAACATTAAGTACGTTGGACATTATAATGAAACACATTTCACTATGGATATGTGTTTCCTGGGTAGTGGAACACATATCACTAGGGATATGTGTTTCCTGGGTAAGGGAAACACATTATTTTCACTGTGGACATGTGTTTTCCGTGTAGGGGAACACCTACCACAAGGGATTTGTTTTTCTTGGATAGGAGAACACTTATCGCTAGGGATTTGTGTTTCTTGTGTAGGGGAACTTATACCACTAGGGATATTTGTTTCTTGTGTAGGGGAACACATATCCCTAGTGATATGTTGGGAATATGTGTTCCCCTACCCACGACCACACATCGCTAGTGATTACGTGTTTCCTGGGGTGGGGGAACACATATTACTAGGGATATGTTTCTTGGGTAGGGGAACACATATCACATATTATATTGATTGTAACGCAAGTTATCCCTTGAACTTCACAAGGTATCCGTTTGTTCAAGGGGAATTTTGCAAATAAAGACAACTACATTTGATTAATTGGCACACTAGTAACTTACTTTTGTACTGAATGTTTGGTCACCTTCTACCTTCAGTGTTCATTAACTATCATTGGTTAAAATAATTTTCATGCATCTACCTGTTTCTTCCTTTATCTGCTTTGTATTCCTTTTTGTGCCATAATCTTCATGAGGTACATGTAATATCCATCGTAGATCTAGATCTCTTTTCTAGTGCCTGTCTCACAAGCCTACATGTATGAGTGCAGCTGTCTCTCCTGGCCTCTCACAGCCCCAAAATTCCATACTGATGACAGATTTGTCAGAATCTGGTCATTGAGCGCTGTTTGATTAATGTGGTAACTTTGTTTAGCTGTTGTTTACTAATGACAGACAAAAGGTCACAAAGATAATATTCCAAAAATAGACCAGGAGAAACACTACCCTGCAATGCAGACATTGGTCCTTTCTTCTCTCCACCCAAAAAGTACCGGTAATGTTTGCAAACACGAGCCACGATACAATTTTGTTGTTGACCAATCGGAATAGAGGATGAAAGTAAGTGTAAAGCTTTGGTGACTCCTCGCGAGCTGGCGTGTCTTGGATTTGACAAGATTTTGCAAGTAACCTTAAGATCATAAATTTCAAGACTATAACAAGATTTCTTGGTTGTAAAGCTATGGATACGATTTTTTGCGTTTGGTTTTTCCAAAATTAATAAAAGTGACATTTTGTGACACAAACAGAAAATTATCATTGCTACGACATTGCACTCAGACTCACACTTATCCAGCTTTGTCCAAAGCTGACAAAAAGTTGTGAATTTGTAGGTAGTACAGGCACATCCTTGACTCACGAGTCAAAATGTACATTAACTCTTGAAAAATTTAAAATAATACAAGCATCACCATGTACATCTGGTCTGGATCCAGCATGAAAAAAATTGTTTTATAAGAGTAAATTGATTGTGGTCAAAATAACATTTCATGGGAAGTCAATAATAATAACCATGTGTCCTACATGTAGCTTTTCAAGTTGAACAATGCATGAAAAATCTAAAGTGGCACACAACAAGCTATCGAAGAATCCTCCAAAGCATACATTTCTGCAAGGAACACATTAAGGAACAACAAACATGAGGTGTCTACCATCATTAGAACATTTATCGTTTCAAACGTGATCAAAACAGCTTGGTGTGATACATCATTGACTCCCTAGAAAGTAGATAAAAATGTTCTTGTAGTCTTCTTCGATATGAATCTGCTTGGTGCCTTTTTCATCAATCAGTTCCCTAATCCTGGCAAATTTACATTTTTAAATGTGGCATCCAGTTGTTTCAACTTGTGAACATATCACACTGCACAGGAATCTTGTGAGAATTCTTGCTAGTTAGTTCCTGGTTTCCAAGAGCTAAACTGTGATTGGCTAATAATGTCCTATGTCACAATAACTGATTTGCAGCTCTAAGTTGCAGATGTTAGTTTTTGGGTGGAGAGAAGCGACGACCGCAAGTATTTCTGTTTGCAGGCTAGAGAAACATAATATTCAAACAAATTTTATCTGGAGCCCATGACTACCAGACTGATTAGGTGAACATTGATTCACGTCATCAGTATGGAATTTTGGGGGCTAAATTACTGACGTCTCCCCTGTAAAACTGCCCAAGCAGCAAGCAGAGATGCCTGTACTTGCAGGCTGCTGTCCCACGGGCTTTTATCCTTTCATTTTGTTACTGGCCAAAATCAAACTTCATTTTGGAAAATCCTCAGAGGCACATAATAATTACTGTTCAAATGTTCAGCCAATGAGGTTTCATCTGAACAGTAGCATCAAAGGGTTTTGTCAACAGATTTAAAAGTCAGAATCATGAGAATTATGTTTTTCACAATGTGGTTTAGGAGTTATGGGTTAAGTTACCTTAGTTACAAAATGTTTTTTCTTTTATACTTACAGGCACATAAAGAGCCACATGATGTTCAAAACCGGAATTTCTAGGATTTCCTTGAACAAGGACAGCAAGCTAATAATTTTTATTTAAGGTCAGGTATATAATTTTATTTTCAGGCATTTCCCATTGCAAAGATTTTTGCGAATAAGAAATGTCTAAGACCAAGATGAAATATGGTCAGATCAATAGTTGAATTAACAATATTTTGTCAATTTTTGAAAAGAAAAAATCCTGTTGAATTGTTAGTGGTGTGAAAGAAAGGAATTCCTTGCCCCTCTAGTGTTCTCTTCTACATGTAGTGTCTGTCCCACAGGCTTTCTCTAATACAGGCTTAAGATAAAGGCCAAAAAATTTCTTTTTTGTAAAATTTGTTGGAAGTAAACCATTTTTACTTTTGAGGATTTTACAAAAATAATTTTTCTCGGAAGTATTTCCTTTGGTGTTTATTGGGAATTTGATTACTATTCAAAAGTTTTGCCAAGAAGTTTTCATTTGGCTACTAGCATCATAGGGCTTTTTTTTACCGATTTAAACGTAAAATGAGTAATTTTTTTTTCATAACATGGTCCAGGTATAGTAAGGGTATTTTTAAAGTTACTCAAATTACATGTATTTTTTTCATACTTATATGCACACAAAAGGCCCCTCGATGTTCAAAAACTGAAGTTCTTGGATTTCTTTGGACACGGACAGCAATTTGATGATTCTTATTAAACTTCAGGTTAGTATTGTTTACAACCTACACAGGACATACAGCTGTACCTACTCAGCAGCTGTATATAAACAGTCAAACTAATCATGATTTATTATTTTATAATTAAATTAAATCAGCGTGCAAAGAAAGTTGTGTCTGACAGCCTGGGGCTAGTGGATTTTGTGATCGGGCTAGTGAATTCTGTGCTTAACTTGCCCGACGGGCAAGTGAAGATTTTTCGGAGAAGTAAAATTACAGAAGTACTGTCAGACAAAATGTTTTAAATTCCTAATAAATTCCTGCGGACCAAAAGTCGCTCCGACGAAGTGAAATCTGCATAAACAAGACGAAGTCTCGCATTACATGTCAGACAAGACATAAATTATCATGAGAAGACACACAGGGCTTGCACAGCTGTAAGTATCCCGGAGAGCTCCATACAATTCCTTATAATTTTGTTATAAGGAATTGTATGGAGCCTTCCAGGAGACTTTTCTTCATTAGCTTAGGCGCGGCGGATTTTGTCACCCGCGTGTAAAGGAAAAGCAGATATTAAAAAAACTTTGGAGGTAAATGTTGCCCGTGACTAATTTTTACTGATTCAGAGAAAGCTGTTTGTCTAAATTTTGTTTCATAATCATTTGTGAGGAACCTAAAGGTTTTGATCCTGAACTCCTGTGTACGAATCTATTATGGTTTTAGCAAATATTGGTCACGTGTGTATCAGTATGGTAAATTCTAAACACTGATACTGTAGGTGTTTGTTGTTTAAAATATATAGACAACCCGTATTGTTTTCACTTTTCACGAAAATCTTTCAGATGAAAAGATGCCAGAAATAAAACGAACATTTTTGTTCTTTTGAAACCTAAAACCTTTGGTTACTTGTAACAAGATGAACCACAAATTTGCAGAATTTTTGTTTGCATGATATTTGCTCACTGATGCGTGACTTGGCACTCACACTTTCCACTTTCCCGTGAACTTGAAACTTGACTCGGAAAACCGACTGCCAAACAAACCTTCTTCAGAAAAATGATCTTCAGAATGCACTGCTTTTGAATGAGAAGCAAACTGATGAAAGCTATCAAATTTTTATGTCCTTTAATAATATAAACATCTCCCCTGTCAGCGGCTAAGAAATACTCCAGCGGGAAATTGCGCGGCAAATTGTAGAATGAAGCGTTTTCACTGACAGCTTTTCGCATTGTCTACGCTGTCGTTTAGTGTGTCCATTGAGAACTTTGGTTTCACGGTTTCAACGCCGTTTTTTTTTCTTAAAAAATGTTTTTCTAAATTGTAAAATGTCTAAAATGCATGTTTATCATTCACGTGTTGTGGCGGACTTAGAAAAAATTCTACAGTGTGGCAGCACCGAGAGCAAAGCAGCAAAAAATCAAACTAGTTGAAGACATCGGGAGTGAATATTGCGTTGAACTAAGAGCGTTACAGAAGATTGAGTACTTGAACATTTTAACAAGAGGTTAACCAGTAATACGTAGTTTTTAGTATTGTGTTCAAAGACAAACGTTTGTCTGTTATTTGGACCTTCATTCCGTTAGCTTCACTGTGAATTGACTTTCAGGACAAAGGCATTTATAATCAAAAGGTGAACACGGAATTATTTTACTAGTGTGTCAAGAGTATCTGACCAGGTCTACTTATAGTTCACACTTTTACGATTAGTTATTGCTTTTGTTAAATAACTACAGCTGATTGCTGCGGAGCGACCAAAGGGAGCGAGCAGCAACATAATCAGGATTTAAAGGAAATATATAAACGGGCGACGAATTCTCGAATTCATCACTTTTTACCACAATGCATTGCATTTAACCACACTTTTTACCACAATGCATTGCATTTAACCAGAGTGCATTGCGCCACGAACAACTCAAATAAAAACACCGGGAAGTAGTGCATCGCTCGCTGCTCAGTTCTACAGCACGGTTAGAGGTCTTACCAAATTTTAAGACACGCAGGAGTCTTTCAGATGAGTACGATGGTTAACTTGGGGAGTGGATTTCAATTCAAGAGCCTTTGACTCTTCCAGGTGTTAAACCTGACTAGAAGATGAGCATTTGCTCTTCGACTCCGCAACACGGGGGATATACAAATTCCAGCTTGCTAGAAGGTGATGTGAAAGTGAGAAAATGTCATGAAATGCTATTCTTAAGAAACTGTATGAGCCGAAAATGGATGTGATTTTGACCATTCGCTTCAAAATAACAGCGGAAATCGGGATAACAAAACATATGTTTTGTGTCCTACTTTGCAGACCAGGACGTGTATCGGCGTTTTGAAAAGCATAATTATGTTCTTTCATTCATTCATTGCCATGAATATGCGTTTACATTGTTTTTTCACTGTTAATAGCTCGGTTAATGCGGCTGGCGATCATCTTGCCGGCGGAAGCTTCATACAAAAGGAATAAAATGAAACACTTTTCCCGGAAATGACGTAATCAGCCTCTGTGGTGTTGTGGTTAGGTGTAGTCGCGTCGAGCCGAAGGTGCCGGGTTCGAGTCCCACCGAATTATTTACTCCTACTTTCTTTTTTTTTCCTTTTTTTGTGTTGTTGTTTTCTTTAAATATATAGCTAAATAACTGTTACTTAATAAAGTGCAACAAACAGTAAGAAAAGTATTGTGTTTCCAGAGAAAATATCGTTCACTGTATATTAAATATCTGGATAATCAATCTCAATTTCTATTATTTCCTACAATTTACTGTGGGAAAACCAGAGTTGATAACCACTTGATCATTTTCTAAACAACGTTCCCACGAGTTCTTTCTATAGACTGATAGTTATTATTCTAGTACTTTCCAACATGTAAATAGGACATTCAATGTCATTTTTGATTCTTTTAAGTCTCACTGCCTAACTAATGCCAGTATCAACAGAATGTGCCGCAGCATTACTATCTTTTAGATACCCTAGTTGTAATGAATAAATGAAGCCAGTAATTTATTAACTTACAGTGTAATTAAGAAAGGAATAATCGCTTAATATTTATTCATTCTGCTCGTGAAAAAAATTTGGGGGCTAGTAAAAATGACTTTCGGGCTAGTAGATGTTAGTTACAGCTTGCCCGAAGGGCAAGCTGTAAAATTGACTTTCTTTGCACCCTGTAAATTCACTTCTATTTAAAATGATCTCATGTTTTGGAACTATAAAATGCATTTCACATTTTCATAGGTGCAATGAATATACTCCAATCATGTTCAGGAATTCGTACTGCAAAGAAATTAATTTTTGTCACAAAAAGAGGCCAGAAATGAAAGATGATTACCTTTCCGAGGTTTTTTCTTTGGTCACCAGATCACATGACTTTTTTTTTTTTTAATATTTGAAAGAAAATAAAGCCTGATGAATTAATTGTTGTGAATGAAAGTGTTGGCACTTACACTACATTTAAGGCTTTTTTGAATGTACATACACAGCTATATTTTTCTTTTGATGATTTTTTCTGTGCAAACAAAGCACCAGCAACAATGTTCTTGGAGATAATGCAACCAAAGTGCTGTAGTACCCAAGACTAATATAAAGAGCATAACATTAAACATTCAGCAGGGAAAAATTAACACCATCACCTGATGAAGATCAACAGTACATGGTCAAAACGTTGAGATAAACAGAGAAAAAAGATTGACCATCGTGGGACAAAAATGATAAGCAGGACCCTTTTGCTATGAATCCTTCATCATAAATTATTGAGTAAGAGTGTTGGCTGGGAAAACTTAAATATCTTCAACCCTTGAACGTCTCTCTGCATATTGTTCACTTTTTGCGTAAAGAAATATTGTTGAGCAATGTTGTTTTAATGATAGAAGTGTAGAAGTGTTTAGAGGGACGTTTTAGCTATGTTTTTTATACTGTGTAACTTGCATACATGTAGAACGTTAATGCCAGCAGAACTCATACTTCAACAGAAAAATGATAGTTCAAAGTGTTTTTTGATGTTGTAATCCTAGTGGCCAAAACTTTGATTACGTCATATGTTTGCATTGCTTGGTGATTAGGCAATTGCTCACCCGCTTATAACACCAAACAGAAACATTTGACACTGGCAAGGTTGTAGAAACCTGTTAAACAGTCCAGGAAAACATTCTTCCTATGGAATAATTTGAGAGGTGAAGCTTGAGATCTAATAATAATAATATTGTATCATACTTTGTGTAATGTCGTTTGCAATTATTACTAATTTTCATTTTCCTTGTTTGGCACACACCAAAACCATTGTAATAATAAGAAATCAGATCTTAAGGACTGCAGCTCAGGGTATAAGTCAGATGTGTGATTTTATCCCAGCTGGAAGGAAGTTCCAAGAACTCACAAGAATTCTAAAAAAAAAAACTGAAAGAAGAAAAACTACTCTATATATTTCTGCTGAAAGCACTGAACAGTGGGTATAATACCCTCTCTATCTATACTACTGCATTTAAATCTGGTGCATTGAAAGTTTTCATACATGTATACTTATATTTGAGGATTCTTAGGATTTTTCCTGTCAAAATTCATTTGTTGTTAGTTTTAAATTCTAAAGAGACTCAAAATCTACAAGTTATTCGTAAGGTTTAGAGACAAGCTTAATGTATAAACAATAATTGCCTATAATTTTGTTCAAACTCTTAACAAAAATAATTGTTGGTAGTTCCACACTCCTGGGGTTGCAACATAAGCAAGTACCTCGCTATTTTCATGGCAGAATAGTTTTCTGTCAGATTAATAATTGTATTGCAAAAGTTTTACTGACCTTGTGGTTGAGTCAGAATGTGAGGCGGACCCGAAGATTTGCGCATAAGACTTAATTTGGCATTAGGAATTATAGTAATTAGTTATTTTGGGTCTGTTGTCTGTGTGTAATGTTGTTGCAATAACTGTTGACCATAGACGAAAGAGGAGTACATGGACACATGTTAGGGGATGCAGACCTTGAAGCATTAGTAGGTAAAAAATGCACAAAGGCGATTACAAAAGGATTATAGATCAGGGATATAAAGTTTGTTGTAAACTATTGGAAATGGAGAATGGATTGTTAAAAGAAAGCATGCTAGGCTGACGTTTTTTGTTGTGTTTTTTTTTTCTTTTATGGTTCATAAAGTAAGAGATACATTTGCGTGGAAACTGAACGGAGGTCAAAATAAGAAAATTATGGGGGGAGGGGGCGAGGGAAGAAGGCAATGAGAACGACCACCTGCAATCAACCCCTTGAGATTTATGAAACGCCCCTTCCAGTCTTGGGAAAGAAGGAGCTGGCTTACATGTGATGTGACATGCTTTGAAGTCTGACATCAGCCATCACACAATGTAAAACAAACTGTCATGCCAAATAGTTTGATGTTATTGTTTTTAATAACTGCCTTCTGCTTATTATTAAGGAAAAAAATTTGTTTATTAGAATTGGATTGTATTATTGGACTCAAAGTTCAACTTTCAGATCAAAAGATTGAATCTTTTTAATAGAAGTCTTATTTGAGTAATGTGTGTTGATCCCTGACACACCGTAAGACAAATTAAAGGCAAAAGTTCACATGCAAAGTGACTGATGGCCTCAATTGATTTTGCCAAAGAAATGTGCAAGAAGTTTTTTTCTCCTTTCCAAGAATATTTCTTGTGCAGAAACAGCATGCTTGCTTTTAAGAACTAGTCTTTCTAAATTCCTTGGAGTTTTTTGCAGAACTTTTTGGCGTCTAAAAATTCTTACAATGAATATTTTGTTGAGCTGACACAAATCTCACTTGCAACGTGACTTTTGACTTGAGTTGTTTTCTCATCTTTCTGAAATCTTTTTGATTCAGAAACAGCAGGCCTGCTTTGGAGAATTATTCTTTAGAGTTTTAGAACTACAGAACGTCTTCATGTCTAAAATACTGGCGATGAAGATTTTCTTGAGCAAACACAAATCAAGTCAAATGCTGAAAGCTGCAATACAACCAACGGTATTTCTTTGAATTTTGTATCCACTGGGAATCTGACATCTGCGCACAGGTTAACTTTTACATTCTGTCAGCTAATCGGGAATGCTGGTTGCTGTGTCTGCTGGCGGACAGAGTTTCAAAAATGTCACATGAAGAGGTTGATTGTAGGTGGTTGTTCTCAATGCCTTCGCCCCTCGTCCCCTCCCCCATCGTCTTAGCTTTTGCACGGTTGTATCTCTTACATTACAAACCATAAAAGAAAAAACACACCAAAAAAACTGCCAACTATGCAGGCTACATTGCAGGCAGCTAGATTGGAGCCATTGCAGATAGAATTTTTTCTCTTTTTAGTTGGAATCTTTAAAGTTTTTGTCAAGTATTTTGTTTGTAAGTGATGCACCACCCAGTCGTATGTAGTACCAAACAGACAGGACAATAGTATTATGTTTTTTTTCCATGACATGTGCCTCAGAAAAAGATATTTCAGGCCTAAGCCAAAACAGATACTTTTTTAAACATTATTTTTTTTTAGATATACATGCCCTAAAAAGGATACCTTTCAATTACATTTAGTGTTTTTTAACCGTGCATGAATGAGAAGACACAGTTGAGTAAGAAGCATAGAGACAGTGTGGAGCACAAGTTAAAGGAAAGAGAAAGAAAGATAATGTCCTTAAGCAGTCAAAAAAAAATTCTGACCAATCATACTTGCCCACCAACATTGCCGGTTTGAACATAACACTGAATCAACCAACCAAAATGCTGATATCATTCAGGGCATTTTTGTACTAATCCTGATTTAAGCTCACTGTCTCTTTAACAAAGAACTTGGGGACAAAAGATGTTGCTGGGGAATGAAAATCTTCTCTCTAAGAAGGAAGAAATCATAAAAACAGTTTACATTTCAGAGATGCTGAGTTTGATGAGTGTTCCCATGAAAGAAACCAAAACAATAACCAGTGTAATGCCAGTGAAAATCAAGCCTTTTAAATGGTGGTTATAGTCTGGATTTTTTTTCACAGTAATGCTATGGCAGCCTCTATTGAATTGTTGTTAGGCTTAGTTGCTTATTTGTCCTCTTGTTTTAAATTTTTTGCATGCCCAAATAATTATACAGTATGAGCATGGATGTTTTCTGGTTGCCAGAATTATGACCTGTTGGAAGTGATAGAGCGATTTTCGTATGACCTTGAAATGAAAACTTCGTGAGCAAAACAGAAACAACAAACAAATGGGAATAGAGCGATTTGATTGGTTTATCGAACAGATACAAACACATGTGGCTTTTGGTTAGTTAAGCAGATGTGCAGGTGAAAAAACTTCATGCCTGAGAACTTTCTATAAATCAACCAATATTTCATTTTGACGTCATACTGCAACACGATTGGCCAATCAAACAATGCCTTCTTCATATGAGGGTTTTCTTTGGTGGAAAAATGAAGAGGCAATGTTTTGTTCTCTTTATCCATTGGCTGATAAAACAAATACATGTAACAATCACTTGCCAAAACCCATTTGGTAAGGTCATACGATAATGGCTCCATTCATTTTCTCCCATGTTTGTTTTACGTTCTGTGTGTATGTTACTCACACTTCATGCTTTCAGTGGAACCAAACCTTGTACCAGAATAGTTTAAAGAATATTGCATTCTTTTTTACATTTTTCAAGGGCTATAGATGTAATTAGTTATCTGTAATAACACCAAAGAAAATTTCTCATGGAAGCCCGAGAAAATAAATGTCAAGTTTCACAAGAATTGTGAAAAAACAGGTAAAGTTCTGAAAACTTCATGTGCAAGATGTCATTTTGGGAAGTTTGACACTTATTTTCTTGGGATCCCATAAGAACTTTTCTTTGGTGTTATTACAGATAACTAATTACATCTATAGCCCTTGAAAAATGTAAAAAAGAATGCAATATTCTTTAAACTATTCTGGTACAAGGTTTGGTTCCACTGAAAATTAAAATTACTCAATTTTCCTTCTTAAAACCTTTCACAATTATTTTTGACAAGTGTGTGTGCTAAGACAGTTAGAATATATCGGAGTACTATTTGCCTGAAACCTGTCCATAAAAATGATGAGAGATTGAAAGTGAAATCTGAGTGAATTAGCTATCATGTTCATTAATTCGTTTCTTTTTAACACACTTCACGGGTAAAATTTGCATTCAATCTTCACTTCTATAATGTATAAAAAAATTTAACTTCCTTGGGAGAACAAACATTGCCACACAAATACAGCAAACCCTAAATCAACAATTTAGCAAAAAATATCGAATTTATTTTCCTCTAGTTCCAGGAATGGCCTCAAATATTCTGCTAGAGAAAATGTGGCCTTCTACATGAAACAGGATTTCTCCACTTTAAGTTTTTCACATCCCACTTTATTGATGGTCAAGCATATAGCAGAACACCATTTAGAAGACTCTGAGTCATAGTCCCAGCAAGATACAAACACTACATTGTTAACCTCCCCTTTTGTAGCCACCACCCTTTAGCAGACACTAATTATTAATGGTCACAGTAAGATATAAAACCGCATTGTTAACCTCCCCTTTTTAGACACCGTCAAATAGCAGACAGTAGACCATAGTCCCAGCAAGATGAAAACACTGTTAACCTCCCCTTTTCAGACACCACCCTTTAGCATTTAACCTCCCCCCCTCCCCCCTAGACACCACCATTTAGCAGACACTAAGTCATAGTCCCAGGAAGATGCAAACACTATGTCTGTAACCTTCCCTTTCTAGACATCACCCTTTAGTAGACACTAAGTCATAGTCTCACCAAGATTCAAAAACTGCATTGTTAACCTTCTCCTTTTAGACACCACCCTTTAGCAGACACTAAGTCATAGTCCCAGCAAGATGCAAATACTACATTGTTAACCTTCTCCTTTTAGACACCACCCTTTAGCAGACCATAAGTCATAGTCCCAGCAAGATAGAAACACTACATTGTTAACCTTCCCTTTTTAGACACCACTCTTTAGCAGACACTAAGTCATAGTCCCAGCAAGATAGAAACACTACATTGTTAACCTTCCATTTCTAGACACCACCATTTAGGAGACACTAAGTCATAGTCCCAGCAAGATACAAACACTACATTGTTAACCTTCCATTATTGCACACCACCCTTTAGCAGACATTGAGTCATAGTCCCAGCAAGATACAAACAATTCATTGTTGACCACCCCTTTTTAGAGTACATCATTCAGCAAACACTACGTCATAGTCCCAGCAAGATACAAGCACTACATTGTTAACCTTCCCTTGTTAGACACCATCATTTAGCAGACACTAAGTCATAGTCCCAGCAAGATGCAAATACTACATTGTTAACCTTCCCTTTTTAGACACCACCCTTTAGCAGACACTAAGTCATAATCCCAGCAAGATAGAAACACTACATTGTTAACATTCCCTTTTTAGACACCACCCTTTAGCAGACACTAAGTCATAGCCCCAGCAAGATGCAAATACTACATTGTAAACCTTCCCTTTTTAGACACCACCCTTTAGCGGACACTAAGTCATAATCCCAGCAAGATAGAAACACTACATTGTAAACCTTCCCTTTTTAGACACCACCATTTAGCAGACACTAAGTCATAGTCCCAGCAAGATGCAAATATTACATTTTAAACCTTCCCTTTTTAGACACCACCCTTTAGCAGACACTAAGTCATAGTCCCAGCAAGATGCACATACTACATTGTAAACCTTCCCTTTTTAGACACCACCATTTAGCTGGCACTAAGTCATAGCCCCAGCAATATGCAAATACTACATTTTAAACCTTCCCTTTTTAGACACCACCCTTTAGCAGACACTAAGTCATAGTCCCAGCAATATACAAACACTACATTGTAAACCTCCCCTTTTAGACACCACCATTTAGCAGACACTAAGTCATAGTCCCAGCAAGATCAAACAGTACATTGTAAACCTTCCCCTTTTAGACACCACCATTTAGCAGACACTAAGTCATAGTCCCAGCAATATACAAACACTACATTGTAAACCTTCCCCTTTTAGACAACACCATTTAGCAGACACTAAGTCATAGTCCCAGCAATATACAAACACTACATTGTAAACCTTCCCCTTTTAGACACCACCATTTAGTAGACACTAAGTCATAGTCCCAGCAATATACAAACACTACATTGTTAGCCTTTCCTTTTTAGAGTCACCCTTTAGCAGACACTAAGTCATAGTCCCAGGAAGATACAAACACTACCTTTTAAACCTTCCCTTTTTAGACACCACCATTTAGCAGACACTAATTCATAGTCCCAGAAAGATACAAACACTACATTGTTAGCCTTCCCTTTTTAGACACCACCCTTTAGCAGACACTAAGTCATAGTCCCAGCGAGATACAAACACTACATTGTTAGCCTTCCCTTTTTAGACACCACCATTTAGCAGACACTAAGTCATAGTCCCAGCAAGTTGCAAATACTACATTGTAAACCTTCCCTTTTTAGACACCACCCTTTAGCACACACTAGGTCATAGTCCCAGCAAGATACAAACACTACATTGTTAACCTTCCCTTTTCAGACACCACCCTTTAGCAGACACTAGGTCATAATCCCAGCAAGATACAAACACTACATTGTTAGCCTTCCCTTTTTAGACACTACCATTTAGCAGGCACTAATTCATAGTCCCAGCAAGTTGCAAATACTACATTGTTAACCTTCCCTTTTCAGACACCACCATTTAGCAGACACTAAGTCATAATCCCAGCAAGATACAAGCACTACATTGTAAACCTTCCCTTTTTAGACACCACCCTTTAGCACACACTAGGTCATAATCCCAGCAAGATACAAACACTACATTGTAAACCTTCCCTTGTTAGACACCACCCTTTAGCAGACACTAAGCAGTCCGGAATATCCCTAAATTTAAGGACAGGGCCAACTGGTCACGCGACACTTTTCAACCAATGAGAAGGCGCGCTTGTGTTTATCAACAAACAAATCAAAACATCGCCCCAGTGATCAAAAATTTTTCAAAACAACGGACGGAGTCGGACAGAATCAGTCATCGTTTCGAGGTTTCAGGCATATTTTAAAGACTTTTCATGAGGCATACACAATTTTTTTAAGTGGACAGCGTATCGGAAGCCATATTGGAACTGTCTCATGAAATATTCAGCACATTTTGTGGCTTGTTCTTCTTTTATCTTTTAAACAACGCGATGTATAGGAGAGATTTTGGTCGGCTTTCAAGGTAGGTGAACAAGTATCTATATATTATTTTTTCGATTCACAGATTGTTTACGAAGTTCTAAATATTTTTCCTCGATTGTCATATCGATTAACTTTTATTATGTTGAATGTGGGGGTGGCAGACCTAGAATTTTGGTAGACAATTTTTGAATTCCGAGGTCCAAAACACGTACGTTTTCCACTCCCGGGTTTCTCACAAAAGCCGTGTTATTATTTTTTTTCGCATTAGTACGAGTCTTTGCCTTTTTTCTTTTCAAGGCCAAAACAACTTTATTAGACTTATGGATATTCACGTCCAACATCTCGCCTCACTTTGCCGAATTTGCGGGGATGAAATTGAAGATCATAAGCGCAAGGTAGATACTAACCGCTTTGTTTTTGAAATTCACTAATCTGGAAAGATTTAATGTTGTTGGATTCTCCAAATGTTCATCCTCCGTTAAAGACCAATCAAAGAAACAAGGCAAATTTCAATTATAAATGCTGTATTTTGCTACTCATTGAACATGCACTGATTATCTGGGATAAAACTAAAACATTGCAGGTACTACAGCAAGCAAAGAAAGCACCAGATGCGTGAAGTCAACACGAAACAACACAAAAAAAAAACAAACAAGAAAAATTAATAAATTTGAACTACTTTCTATTCTTGTTATGATGACTGGTTCTTTGATTCTTGTCCTGTACAAGTTAATAGGTAGTACCAATGCTGTTTTGTACGATCTCAACAAATTTTCACACTCTCTCTAAGGCTATTTTTACACGGGACGAGTTTGCTTGTATCAAAAATCTTGCAAGCCATGCCAGTGAAGCCACGACCTCTGCGATCGGTCCGGAATCAGTTCGAACACCCCAATGATTCCTTGCAATGATTAATGCTCTTATTCTCTTACATGACATGTTTTCTCTGAAATATTAAATGTGAAACCTAGGCGAGTACTGTAAGCTCATCTTTAATTCTGTCCGACTCCGTCCGTTGTTTTGAAAAATTTTTGATCACTGGGGCGATGTTTTGATTTGTTTGTTGATAAACACAAGCGCGCCTTCTCATTGGTTGAAAAGTGTCGCGTGACCAGTTGGCCCTGTCCTTAAATTTAGGGATATTCCGGACTGCTAAGTGATAGTCCCAGCAAGATACAAACACTACATTGTTAACCTTCCCTTTTTAGACACCACCCTTTAGCAGACACTAAGTCATAATCCCAGCAAGATACAAACAGTACATTGTTAACCTTCCCTAAGGTAGAGGACATCTCTCTGAAGCAGACATTAAACAATGATTGGATGAGGTTTTCGTGATACTCAGAATAATCAAGGTCGTGGGAAGTATTTTCAGCCGAGCGGAAGGCCAAGGTTGATAACACTTACTGGGACCTGGATTATTCCGGATATCACAAAAACCGAATCTAATAATTGTTTTATTACACATTGCTTTAAAATACATAGTAATAATAATAATAATAATAATAATAATCCATTTATATAGCGCCTTTTCTACAAGATTCAAAGGCGCTGTTTACAAAAGTTAGATAAAACTAAAAAGTAAAAATAATTACAAGAAATTGACATTAAAACTAGACGCTAACTACAAAATAGATAAATGTACACAATAGATAAAAATCAGATAACAAATAAAAACATCACGATTCATAAGGTCGCATAAAAAGAAATGTTAATAAATACATACCGGTAATAACGATACACCGTCGCACAGAACCGATTGGACATTGCTCTTGGAAATCATGCAATGCGCGCGCAACCTAATATATAACTAATCTGTAGGTTGCACTAATTTCCAAAATTAACTCTAGGATTTAAGCCAATTAGAAGATAGATGATGAGTACAATGTATAACAATTAGGCATAGTCCCAGCAACTCTAATTTTTAGATTCCACAACCAGCCAATTTTGATTGTTCTGATTTTGTTTCGTGTTTTTGGAGTTATTTAGCTGAATAAATAAAACTAAAATTTACATGTAATTGGAAAGGTCATTCGCATTTTTCTGTTTGATTTGACTGTTAGATATTCACTCATAGACAGTATTAAGCGGGTGTTGGTTGAGTGTTATTTCACTGTATTTAATTAGGAAAAATCGTCATCTTCAAAATAGATTTATCCTTCCATCATCTTCTTGAACTGAATAACTGCACTTGAATAACTGTACTTGTTTCTCAGGTATGATATATATTGATATTTGCATCAGATCTCTATGGGTCCAATGTTATTACAGATGGGACCTTTAATACACTTGTGCCTTCAAACATGAGTTCAATTTTTCGAGGCTGATTTTCTGTCCTTCCTCGCTGAATTCTATAACGACCGTCAGGAGATTGAAAATTTAATTTCTCTTCCTAAAATGCATAACTGCCAAAGTAGTAAGGAAATCGAACTACTCAAGCCATTTTTTGGTCTATTTCTAGTAGACGAATATTATATTGTTAATCTGATGAACGCCATTCTTGGTGTTCTAAAGGTCTTCTCCTTGGGTTATCCTGGTGTGGGAAAAAGGTCTATGTTGTCCTAGATCACAGATATGATTATCTTCTTCTGTCAAACGTTTTCATAGAATTGTCAGAAAATAGCTGACACCGCATTTTTAAAACGTTACTGTTATTTCCAATGTACTTCAACAGTTCAGAATCAAGATATGATATATCTTTAGTTACTGGGAAACATGTTGAGAGTGGGTCATTCAGTGTGATCGTGATGTCGAGAACATTTAACTATGGGAATTTACAGGGTCTTTTTCACAGAAGTTTAGTGCAGTTTGTTAGTTTTGACAGCGTATGGCTACGAAAGTGAACGCTAGAAGATAATACTCGGAAATGGCAAACTTACAGCTTGATAACAATTTCTCTGCGTTTATATTATTGTAATTCCAAGTTCCAGACATCAGAGATAAACTAACAGACTTAACACGAAATGCAAGCTCCAATTATTGTTTTATTTTTGCATTTTATTAGTATTGATAATTTTTTTTGTCTTCTTTCGTTTTTGCTATGCCATTAAAATGTACATTAAGCTTTTAGCTGCTGGTTTTATAGTTTCAGTCAGTTTGATAGTCAGTTTGATTGGTGAAATTGCGTGTCATAGCTATTTCAAAGGTCGTTGATGCGTTGCTATGGTAACATTGTTACCAATCGATCCTTTTACTACTCAGTCAAAAGGGAATAAGTTCTTGTTCGACTTTAGACTGTAAGTATTTTTTCTATAACCTGTTTACATAGCAGAAGAAATGAGGATAATAAATTTAAGTGGGATGATGCGGAATACCTTGCCACTAAATCAGTAATTAGCATCCTCGGAATCTTTCAGACTTCTTCGGTGAAGTTTATCGGACACGTTCGTGTTTCTTTCAAAGAATTTTAAAACTAGTGATTTTAAACAGATAGAACAGATAAAGAACGTGAATTTTTTTTCGTACATACCTCTTTTATTTTCTCTCCTTTTTTTTTTTTGAAGCTCAAGATACTAGAGCTAGAAGAGGTACTTCCGTTTGTTTACGTATTTAGGAAATCGCGCGTTGTTTTTCTGAGCATTATACATTCACATTTTAAAATATGATCAAATTTATACAAAGCAATTGTCTTGACAAAAATCACAATCACTTGTTCCGAAATATGTAAACAACAAGTTAAACGAGTATATTCATATTTTTAATTCAGTGATTCATCCTTCAGCCCGTTTTCTGCAAAAACAGAACAAAGGTTGTGATTAAGAATGTCAAGTAATGTTTTTTTACGTCAGTGCTTTCGTTCTATGAAATGTCTTCCTTCTTGATCAACACTCCAACTCTCAAGTGGAAAAACTCTTGCATTTTTATGGAAATAGCTGTTAAGGTTGTTGAAGATGCTAATTTTTTTTTTTCAACAGAACAATTGCCGCTGCTGGTTGGATCACGGCTCAATTTGGAAACTGAAGAAAGAGGTACCACAGTAAAGGTAGAGAACAGATTGTAATTAAGGATTTTTCAAGAAAGGAAAACAGTTCGGAAGTTGTCGGGTGGTCTAAACGGCTTCGATGCATTATGTGGCCGCTGTTTCGAAATTATTTATAATTTTTGTGCTCGGAGCTATATTAGAATCACAATCGTAGCGTAGTTTCAACCGGGGGGGGGCCTGTTCATATGAGGTGTGCCATCCTGGTTTGGAGTGCTGGCTCGGCTCAGCTCGTGCGTTATTTCCTCTTAAAATTGCTGTTGTGTTTATATGAGAAGGCCGGCCGGCCCGCTTGCCGAGATCCCGGTTGCTTGAACGGGCATCTCGGCAAACGGGCCAGCCCTCCTTCTTATATTAACACAACGACAGTTTTAAGAGGAAATGAGGCATGAGCCGAGCCTGCCCGTCTGCCTAACCAGGCTGGTTCACCTCATAATAAGAAGCCCTAAGTAATCCGAATTTAAAATCGAGCCATCGTGCGAAAAATATAGCTTTCCGGGCACAACAAATTATGAAGATTTTCGATAAACGGGACCCATAAATTCAGAAGGCGAAGAAATTTAAATTTCAAAGCTAGTTTTTCACATTTTGGCCAACCACACAGTGTAAACAAATCGGAAACTATTTTCAGCGCTTAAAGTCGATCCAGTGGTAATAAAAGTATGAATATTGACTGACAGTGTTGTGTACTACTCTCGAAGTCGCACGATGCTGCGCTCAGTCAACTTTCTTATTTTCTTTACCAATGTGCCGATAAACGGAGAAAACAAACAAGAAGTTCGTGTAAGCTGGCATTGCAGCGCCATTCAGACCACCCGACATTTTTTTATTATTCGGAAAGAAAAAAACCAAGTCTCGTTTCGTGAGTATTTCAAGAAATTTTTTTCCCGTCCAGTTCGTCAGGTAAGAAATAATTTCTGCACAGTTTTGTTTTGAAAAATCGTAGTGTTCATGGTAAATTTTTATGTTAATTTCTTGTCTTCACGAAAATATGATTGGAATGTGGTTCCAAGAGACTTAGAAAAAATACGGCGCGCCCACGGCGCATGCGTCGTATTTTTTTTTTAAAAAAAATGAAAGTTTATTTACTTTAACTATTAATAAAAATAAACAATACTTTTTCAAGTCGTTTTCATATTTTTATTTCTTTCATTAATAGAAGTCAAACACTTTCTTGTTTGCTAAGTTATTATTTCTATTTCTAATACAATAAAGCAATCAACACTTTGGTTTACTTCAATAATGTTTTATTTATTAAAAAAATGTCAAGAAAAATTTTTCAAAAATATACTAAGTCTTTTGGCGGGAAAATCTGAGCAAATTTGCACAGCGTTTCCCCTGACAACATTTTTGTGTCAAAAAATGATAGAGTTTACTTTCCAAAAATTTCCGCCATAAAACTTTAATACAGCACCTCACGCAAAATGTTTTTGCACAAGTTGGAGTATAAAGTTTTTAGCAAGAAGAAGTAATACAAGCAATGTTTTCCGACAATTACTCGCGCACAAGGCTACGTTGCAAGGCAAGATACAGTTTACTGCGCGTATTACCTTCTACCTGCTCAAGAAATTTTTATGTTGCAAGGAGTAGAAGGATCTACTTCTTACAACACAAAAATTTATTGAACAGGTAGACGATAAAACACACAACAAACTGAATCTCAACTTGCAACGAAACCTTGTGCGCGAGTAGTCGTAAGAAAATATTGCTCGTGTTACTTGTCCTTAAGGCGGTTAATTAAAGGCAAAAATGGCAAGCTATAAATCATTCAAAACTACAGAAACCTATATCTATTCAGAAATCAAAGTCCAAACAAAATATTTTTTATAAAAAAAATTAAAACCTTTTACGTGGCGAAAGACTACCGCCTTTTGAATTTTTCTCCTCCATTTTCTAAGCCATTGTGATTCAAGTTCACGATACTGTAATCTTCAATTTTATTTTTTCGACTTATAACTTGCCATGATGCCAACAAAAACCCTCTCCAGCTCTTAGAAAACATGTCTGTAGCACAAGACAAATTGCTTCTGTTCAAATTGTTTTTGCCAAGTTTAATGAACTATGCCTTTGGAGCAAAGCTTGAACTAAGTGAGTATTTTAGATCATATATATACAATTGGTTTGCTCCAACTTTCTCCGCATCATAAATCAATATAATTGCCTACTCCGTGTGTGTATAATTTATTGCTTTTTTTCCTCGATTTGTCCTGTGCTGCGTCAAGTCCAAGCTGGAAAAGATTTTTCTACCTAAATTAAGAATAACCCATTATAAAACCCAATGTCTCGTTTTTAAAAAATCTTAAATTTGTAGTTCCCATCCAATGACTTTTTAATAATAAATCTTGTTATACAGACCACAATAAACACGTGCGTTTAAATAGTCTTCGTACAAACGCGTATTGTAGAAATTGTACACAAAATAAACATGTCGCGTATCTGATTCAGTGGTTTGTTCGTTCAAAATATTTTCACAATCTTGTCTACTTACACAAACTTGTTCACGAATGTTTCAGTATTTTGTAGTTGCACAAGATACATTAGTCATATTCAATTTTAATTTGAAGATGTCTTTTGTTATTCAATAAATGTTTGCTGTGCATTCATAAACTTGTTATTCAACGTTGGTTCTCATTAGCCAGGCTTTCTCTTGTTTTTCGCTTTCAAACTTTTTCAGCAATGATTGTCGCAACAAATTGCCATTAAATCAGTCGATATCAAAAACATTAACACATTGACAGTGGTTTGTTCTTCATAATATTTGTTTATCTTAACAACTTACACAAACCGACTTGTTTAAGAATGTTACAGTATTTTGGAGTACAGTATTTTGCTTTTAAAATTTAACAGCCGTGATTGAAGTCGCCAAAAAAATCGGCATAAAATGTGTCGCTATTAAAGCTATTTTTCAGCGCCAAATTTAAGTTGTCCTTTATTCATGTCGTAGAATGAGTTGATGTAAACAAGTTTGAGTGCTGAATATTTTCGTGCACTTTTGGTATAATTTTCCATTCTGATCACTTTTATTGTCAATACGGTAAAAAGTAAAACAAAGATCGTTTGGAAAATATTACAAAGTGAACAAATTAAAGTGCTTTGTTACTGTCTTTTAATTCTGAAACTTTGGTGTTGAAGCTTCCAACATAAATTCCAGATTTGTTTCCACTGAACAGTACGTTGATTTTCTAATAAATCTGTATCTTCTGAAAATAACATTTTAACTAAACCTAGGCTACTCTTACCAAAAGCACATGGGTAAAAGTTTTTAAAACCTATTGAAATTTAGTACGTCAATTGTGAATTTGCCAGGAAACACCTGCTACATTCTATGATCTTTCAGTGATCGTGTTTTCTTGATACGCAAGCATGTAAAAATAAGTTGTGACGTATGTTCGTTCATCTTTCAAGTGAAATATTTGACTTTGAAAATCTTCATTAGTGTGATTGAATAGATATCAACATTCATGCTCTAAATTAATTTTCAGTCGATAGTTTGTCTCTTTTACCTTGTGGCTTTCACTGAAAACGACTTTATTTTTCTTCACCCATTATCCTAGGACTCGCTCAATCAAACGATAATTTAAAAAGAAAATTTCTTGTCTCCTGTTTTTTATGTGATTGGCCTTTACGCGTTTTAACGTTGGTGTTTAATGCCAATCAGTTCTCTATCGAGTGAGTACCCGTCTTAAGAAACAACAAAAAACGGCCAAAAAAGAAAAAAAAATTGTCACTTTAAAGCAAAAAGCTTTAATTTAAGTCTGGTTTTTGCCACCTTGTTATGGACCAAATTGCCAAGTATACCCGTAACTATTCAAACTACTAAGAAACCTGTTGGACTAGTTAGTTCGACAGTGAAAAAAGAGAAACATCTACACCTATCTAAGGCCAAAGAATATCGTCTCGAAAAATCTCAGAAACTGTGGTGGAAAGCATGTACACTTGCCAATTTTTTAAAACGTTTTCGCAAAAGAACACAGGATCAAGTAGAACAACTTATGAAACAGATTGCTGGTTTTGTTTGTGGTCTTAGTAAAATAGTCTGCCATAAAAAATAATTCTTTTTTGCCATTTTAAAAACTTATGCTTTATTCATACTGTCTATTTCTGTATTTTTCCTGAAGCAACTGTTCATTAAGGAAAACTAACCTTAATTCAACTAACTTTCTTCTCGTTCTCGTTTTGTTTTAAGATTTAGGACGAAGACCTGGCAAAAGTAGTAGGCTTGCGTAATCATAAAAGTCTAATGACTGAGTCGTTGTATTCAGTTGGTTTCAAAAATAAAGCTCCCTTCTGTGTTTCGTTTGCCATTAATTTATCTTTAAAACTGAAATACCGCGAGTTAAAAAGAATGAAAACAATTTCTTTCAAACAGTTATCGAAAGGTGGAAAAACAAAAACCCTTTTGGACCAAAAGCTTCCTATAATTGTTGTTTTCTATCAATCAGTCCTTTACTGAAAAGTATCGGTCTTAAGAACCAAGCAAATGACAGCCAAAGTAGTGACGCGTTTGTTACTTTGAATTAACGTCAGAGTGGTTTTCTTTAAACTTAAAAAGTCATTAATTTATTTTCTACTTCAAATTTTAATCACTTTGAAACAAGTTCCTGTTAAGAGAAACCTAACCAAACCTTATTTTTTTCCGAAACAGAAGAAATCTTTATACCCTTATAAGCTCTTACACTTATCGACAGCCAAAGAAATACTGTCTGGAAAAATCTCAGAATTTTTAAGCAGAAAAACGATTTTCAAAACTAAAAACGTTTGCTTTTAAGGCCTGCATAACCATGTCCTCGGTGGAGAAAAATCAGGTATTGAAAATGTGACACTGGAGAAGCTTTCGTCCTTTTGTTGATTTATTAATTGATAAATCGATGAGGCTATTAGGGAGTGCCAACAATATGGCACTGTCAAGCAGATCTCGTTCAATTTCTTTTCACTTTATTTTCGAAATCAGCATCAAATTGGGCCATAAAAGACGAAATTTGTAATATGCACTTTTGTATGGAAGCAGCCATATGAATTTGAATTTTTTTTTCACAATAACAGCAGCCTGCAATTTGCGATATGAATTTCTACTAGAGCATCAATTTGTCTTATGCATTTTTATGTAACCTTGCTTCCATAACAGCAATTTGCAGTGTTTATTTTGGG